AGAAGCCAATGACCATTATCTGAAAAGACTTGGTTCAACTATTGGAATGTAAACTCATCTGGACGCTGTCCAGGACGGTTATTCTACGCTATGAGAGTCGACAGCAAGTTGTGGGCCGCCAGATGTCGCTGCTAGTAAAAAACAGGTCTGCCCGACATCCTATATTCTCTGAGTACGGAAGTTGTCGAAAGCGCGTGAAAAAATGTTGCCACGTCGTCAATCAGGGTTGTCCAGTTGACGTACTAAGTAGACAATGGCTTTATATGTGTTTTCGCCGCTGATTTTTTCATATTTAAACCAAGAATACGGTCGTAGATCTGAATCGGTGGCGAATTTATAGAAAATATGTTGATGCTTTTGCTCTGCCAAAAGATGTTTTCATTGCGTATTTCAGATTGCCAAAATTTATAGTTATTTTAATTTGGGATGAACTGAGAGAGTATTTGGAGCCACATTCAGAAAACAAAAACACAATTTCTACTAAAAGAAAGGTTATACTATTCCTGAAATTATAGATATAAATTGTAATTGTACGCTTTAAAAATGTAGAAGATAATAAGTTTATCAAGCACATAAACCTTCTTCATTTAATACAAATATAGACATCCGATAAGCTTCTACTCGATTTATGTGCAGCAAGAATTACGTTTACTTTAAAATCTAACAGTTAAATACCTTACGAATAATACTGTGAACACAAAAATGTCGTTCTTTATTACGCGAAATTCACACTACTGTAAAATAAAAATTAATAATAATAATAATTATAATAATTATAAACTATAAAATAGATTTATAATATTTTTTCAGTAGTTGTACTCCTATTAGTGTGATACTTTTAAAAATAAGTTTTAGCCCAGAGGGGCTATTAATTTCGTTTTGCCATTTTGTAGTGTTTCACTTTTCAAATCGTTGCCACCAAGTATTATCACACTCTATTATATTTAAAGAAATTAAATAATGAGGAATCTGCAGAATGTATGAATGTTTCTCGCACTGTGATAAAACAACGGTACCTAGAGCCATGAAATTCTGAATAACGTAATCCTTCATCCTAATATAGGCATCTGGAGGCCCAAATTTGGAACTGGGAATTTGTATTACTATCCATTTCATATATCATATTTTGTAAAGCATTTATGGGTTTTTTTGATTAAGAAACCCAACGATTTCAAAGCAATTCAAAGCGAGCAATGGCAAAAAACATTTTCATCTCTAGCGCGCGAGACTATGTATCGGAAATTCTAAAGATATGCTTTTTTTTAATTATATGATATTGCTGTTGAATTGAATTTTATGGTTTAAGTGCAAAAAACATGATATTTAATAAATAAAGGTAACACGCAAAACGTTAATAAAACGGCCCTTTGGGAGTAATATAAAATCTGAAGGCTTTCAGATTTTTTTTTTTTTGGTGTGTATGTGTGTGTAATTTTAATACGTTTTAAAACTGGTTTCTAAGTGAGGACCTTCTAAGGGAAACTGGCTCGTATACACGTTACACATGGGGAAAGCCACGAAAACGCCGGCCAACTCGTTTGCGGGATTCGGACCTCGGACCAAACTACCTGCGTTCAGCGACTCTACCACTCGGCGGCTGGTGGGCTTGTTAGCAAGACTGAGGGTTTGTTCATGGAATAGTACTTTTGTAACCTATTATAGTATTAAAAAATCATTGTTTCTTTGCAAACTTAAAAAAATTAATAAATAAATAATAAAAATACCGTTCATAGCATTCTCATTTTTATATTGTAAAAGAGATATTGATTATTATTAGTTTTCTGTTTAAAATGTGTCGAAACGCTGGTTTGATAAGGACTTGAAATGCAGGAGACCTACACTGATTATTTTTATTTTAGTACTTCCATTGTGAAAATATTACTATCTTTTAATTATTTTCACAGAACAAAATCTTTTGAGAAGGAAGAATATTTAAACTGAGCAGTTCTTATATATATACACAATTAAAATAACAGCAATGTAATATTGAAAAAAAGGTATTAGTAATTGTGTGACAAAAATTGCAAAACGAATTAATCACACATACAGGAGAGATTAGTTTAATTTTGGTTATATATTTTATATTGAAAAAATAATTTTCTTATTTTTTAAGTTATAATGTTAATTATAGAATAAATTATTTAAAATAAAAGCATTTTGATGCGTGTGTGATAATTGAATGCAGCAGCAATCGGCCATACTGTAATAGCGAATGAATTTTATTTCTTTTCCTGAAAGAATAATTTTCATAGAAAAAGAAAATAAAAAAAAGGGGAAGAAATATTAAGAAAGAAATATTTTCTTTCTAATTTCTTATTTAAAGAAATATTTTTCGAATAGTAACTGTAAAATAAATTGCGGGAAAACAGTTTTAATGTAAACATGGAAAAAAAAAAAAAAAAAAAAAAAAACTTAGTTTGCTATTAGATTGTAATGCAAATTAATCATATATAAATTTAAATGAATTAAATTGTTTATTTCTAAAAGGATTTGAAGTAAGCTTAATTCATTTACTCTTATCTATTTACCATTGCTTTTCGTGGTATCCCATATCACTCTTTATTTCTTAGCTTCTAAATTCCTGCGTTAACTTTCCCATTAAAAAACGAGGATTTTCCTTCACATAACACAGCAGCATATTCTAGCTGCGTGTTGGTCATAATACTGTTTTGTGCAATTTTTTTTTTCGAACTACAAATGCAGCGTGTGAGTTAGTGAAATAATGGAAAATATTCCTAGAACTTCAGCCAGCGCGCGCTATTTCGTCACTCGTCTGTACTGCGATTGGTCTAAAGCTCCTCGAAGCCTTGTCCCCTTCCAGTAAAGTTAAATGGACCCACCCGCCCTCCAACTGAGGACCACAGAATGGCTTTCTCCGATAAGTTGGGATGGCTGTCCATACCGGTTCTTTTGAGTCAATATTGTTCGCTCAAGTTGTAGACAGATCCAGTGATCATAGAATAGGCGTCCAGTGCTACCCTTCAGCCTGATCCAGGGATAAGATCAATATCGACAGAAAATTAAACATTAACATCCTGTTTGGAAGCACAGCCAACCATCAAACATCATATGTAGCAAATTTTTCAGACCCTTGCATACTCGGATTACACTTTCTATGGAAATACAATTTTTCCTTGGTCTTAAAAAGTAACGAACTGCATTTTGCCTCTGAGGACATAACCCAGTTCAGAATTTAAAATGAAGTAAAATTAAATTAAATCCATTCACCAAATAACAGCTCAAGACCACCGTGATCAAGAAAAGAATATTTACTGCCTGGGTCCACAGCTAAATTTCCGGTACAGCATAAAGGAATATTCTACGAACCATAACCACTCAAAAGGAGTACTAGTAGCCTTGGCACTCACTTAACTAATGACGACCTTCATTCCAGTGAGAGTTGTCAACATAAGTGATGAGGCAAAAATCGTTAGGAAAGGCGAAGTGGTTGCAGTATTTACTCCAACGAGCTGTGTTAAGCAAACAAGTCATTCTTCATAGACCCTAACTTTAAAGTTATTGCACAATGCACTTGGAAGTGATGAAGAGAAGAAAATTGGCCGGAAGAAAACTACATATGACTAAGAACACATCAGTTTTTCAGTAGCAGGTTTTAGCTCAGAGCTGAATTCGGAGTATGGAGATATTCATGTGAGCTTTGCCTTTCAGATGCGCTTTGCACTGCACTGTGTTTAATACCAGGCCTTAGATTTCAATGCATGCAACTGCTGGATGATGGATGTAAAATTTCATGGAAAGTAAAATAAAGATACTATCATTACAGATTACTAGTAATTTACTTTTTTGATAAGATTAAGAACAGAATAAAAAATATAATACGATGCATCAAATTAGAAAGCTAAGGAACAGCACAATTTACTTCTGGCTGAACTTTTTTTTCCCTGTTCCAGTAACAAAAGAAAACCACTCTGAACAAACATGGGTTTTCAGCTTTGTGTAGATCTAGATCAGGGACAGACATACAGATGGACACATGCACACACATAGTCCCCCCCCAAAAAAAGCTGCTCCCTTTCACAAATTAAAGCTGAAACTGAAAATATGATTCCTTAATTGATTGTGAGAAAAACTGATTTATTCCAGTCATTTTTTCCTGAATATCACATTCTCTGTTCTCACACTGTTATGCCGTGTATTAACACATTATAAGCGGGGGCGGGTATTTGTACCCGTTTCGCAGATTGCCACTTATTAGCGGGACAGTACCCGTTTCGCAGACTACTGTTTAAAAGCGGGGCAAGTATTAGTATCCATTTAAAATCACCACTTTAAAGTGACACAAGGGAAAAAATAAAGTTTCATATAATGTATGAATTGGTATATTTTTATTAGAACAGATTTTTAACTTTGTCAACTTATTTTCCATTCACCAACTTGTAATCTCTTATGCGCTGAGACATCTACATATCTCTCAACACATTAGTTGATAACACTGTATTTATGAAGTTTTCATATTACATCATATAATACTATTATTCATATTATTGCTAAGCAACATAGTTGCGTATGTTAGATAGACCATACAAAATGTGTTAAAAAATGTATGGAAAGTTCAGATAATAGATCATTTGGCATTGGACATCCAGATTTCAGATTTTGCACTGTACATTATAGGAGAACATGTCCTGAACAAAGCAGCATTCAACTTTCATTACTTTTTTGTTGTTTGTTAAACAAAAACAAAACCTTTGGAGAAATAATTTTACAGTCATTTTTTTAAACAAGTGCTAAATGCTTTGTTCAACGAAAATACTTTTGCAACCAGTCTGAAAATATATTATTTACTACTATTCTCAACAAAACTAACAGAATCTGATACTACTTTGAATAGAAAATAAGGAATATTCTTGCAGCAAGAACAAATGTAGCCATCACAATATACTTTTCATCAAGTCCTCTCTCCAAAGAAAATGGTTGAGGAAATGAACAATGCTTGCTTAAGTGGTTAATGCAAAATATAAAAAAAATGCAATACATACTATCAAAATGTTGGGCCTGTTCCATCAAGAAATTAGAAGTCTGTACCCACTGCTTTTCCAAAAGTTCTTCTAATGTATTTGGTACTTGACAACTAACATAAAAAAGTAAAAAAAAAAATATTTAATTTTAACATTAACAATACATACACACATGCATTGAAGAGTAAAACATTATGACCACCAATTCAATAACCCAATGCATCAACCTTTGGCCAGCAAAACAGCTGCAACTCATATTGGCATGGATGTCACAAGTTCTTGGTGGATTACTGGAGATAAGTTGTACCAAATGTTTTAGCAGCAGTTTTGCAAAGTCGAGATATTCCAACACGGTGCTCTCCGAGCTGCCACTCCATGACATCCCAAATTTCCTCCACTGGGGTAAGATATCCCGAGTTAGGTGGCCAAGTTTACTAACTGGAATTCGTCCTTATACTTCTTGAATCACTCCAACACAATTCAAGCCTTGTAACATGGGACGTTGTACTGCTGGAAGATTTCATTTCCAGTCGGGAAGACAAATGCCATGTAAGGGTGCAATTGAACTGCAATCATGTTCAGACAGTCCACAGCTTTCATGATCTGTTCTACAACAACTAAGGGTTCTAGAGCTGCCCATCAGAATGTCATCTAAAGCATAATACTGCCATCCTAAGCCCCAGCCTGTTTATTACCTGCTGTAGAGCGGGAAGCAACTGTTTGCCTGGAAGACAGCATACTGTGACATGACCATCAAAGTGATGAATGAGAAAATGTGATTCATTCGATTAGGTAACAGTCTTCCACTCATCAATGCTCCAGTCTTTATGTTCCTGGCATAGCTGTAGTAGGCATAGTTGAAAATGATGCTTGGTCAACAGAGGTGCATGAGTCAGATGTCTGCTGCACAGTCTCATATCCAATGGTTTCCACTAAATTGTGTGTTCCGAAGCACTAGCAGGTAGACCTGCTTTGTATTGGGCTGTAAGCTGAGCCAATGTCTGGCACTGATTTTGCTGGACCAAGTGTCCTTTTCCTTTGATGATGCATGAACATCCAACACTTTGGTATCTACTGCTTGTTTCACCATCATTTATCCACATTGCATAAATACTAACAGCAGATTGTGAACAACTAACTACCAGTTGTGCAGTTTCAGAGATATTCATTCCAAGTCATTGGATCATTATAATCTCCCCTCTAACAAATTCGCTTTGATCAGCAGCCTTTCCCATCTCTCGCAGACGTAAGTGAAAGAATGATACCTTACCTTCTTCAGCAACGATTAAATACCATTCCCACTTAATCATATGCTCTCCATGTTATCCAAATAAGTTCATTCAAAAAAATGTGGGGATTATCATATTGTTTTGGCTCATCAGTGTATAACAATTTAAACAAAGCTGATGATTTTAACTTTTTCTTCTTCAACATAAAAGATTTACAAGACGAAATAAAATACAATTCAACACAATGGAAAACTAAGAATGACACATAAAAACAGTCACTAAATGTATTACATACCCATCCTCAGAACCTGAAGGATTTTGCATTTGTTTGGTCACATTGTCCATCAGGTTCACTGTGTCTGGAATAGGCATGGAATTGCTCATATAAGGAAGCTCTTGATGAAATACTGGCTCCTCCACTAGCAAATAATGAATGAAGTTTTACTTTCACTTTCATACTTATTAGTTTTCCAGAATGCTTAATATTAAATTAAGTATTAGTATTTATCATGCAACAAATATAAAAGTTTAATGGCCAGCTTCTAATGATCTAGTTCTATTAGTTTTAGACTAAAGGCCTGACAATGATGTTAATATACGAGGGTTGGAACTTTAATAGTGGCAACACAGCTGAAAAAACGCTACGCAACAAAACCAAAGAATATCGCGTATACCCCACGTGAACTACATACCTACCTTACCTCTCAGCAAAAAGACTCGTCCTGCCTGGAGTGACGCGAAGAATGGATCCTTGTATTTGCTCGTGGTCTAAAGTAAGTGTTGTCAGGATGTTTTCAAAACAAGAACAACGATGTTGGATAAAAATTGAATGTGCCAGAAGTTGTACAGCACGACAGTGTCATCAAGGGCTTCAAGAGGCTTGCAGGGAATCTGCATTGCCTTACAAAACCATAGCAAGATGGGCGAAAGCATTCAATGAAGGACGGCAAAACGTGGCAGACATGCTGCGGCCAGGTCGTCCGAGTGTCAGCGATGCAGACGCGCAAGCTGTTGCCGCACTAAATGGACAGTGATCGCCGCCAAACGATTCGTCAGCTGGCCGGACAAACAGGATTAGCGCATACGACTGTGCTGCACATTCTGAAGGAACGTCTGTCCATGGAAAAAAATTGCTTCACGATGGGTTCCACATCAATTGACGGAAATGCAGAAATGGCTACGATACGATGCTGCCCGAACCCACCTGGAGCGCTATGAGCGCGAAGGAGATGCTTTTTTACGCCGTATCATTAAGCTGGATGAGACTTGGGCCCGATTGTACCAGCCAGAACTGAAACGCCAATCAAACGAATGGCATCATCACGGGTCACCACGACGTTCGAAATTTCGTCAGAACCCCAGCAATGTGAAAGTTATGGTGATTCTCGTGTACAACTGCCATGGTGTCATCCTAACGCATACTGTTCCCCTACAGCAGACCGTCACTGCGCAGTATTACTGCTCATTTTTGGAGCACAATCTCCGACCAGCTTTGAGAAAAAAAATGGCGACACTTTCTGCAGAATGCTCCTCTCATTTTGCATGACAAAGCTCAGCCGCATGCAGCGCAAGCTGTTCAAGCGATGGGGCTGGGAAGTGCCTTACCATCCACCATACTCCCCAGATCTAAGCCCTTGTGACTATGACTTAATTCTTAAGATGAAAGAACCACTTCGTGGCACTAGCTTCCAAACTGTTCCTGAGATTCTTGCGGCAGTAGACCGGTCCATTCAAATTATCAACAAAACAGGTCCTGCTACAGGTATTCTGCGACTTCCACATCGTTGGAAACGGGTTGTACATAATGCTGGCAACTATATTGAAGGACTGTAAAACATGAATCACTTTTGTATTCCTTGTAAATAAATAGCTGCCACTATTAAAGTTCCAACCCTCGTACAATTGGGATTTTTTTCTTTGAGCAAAAACTTGGATTAAACTTAGATTCCAATCATAATAATTAAGATGTTAAAACATTGCGGTACATATGCTATTTGACAGGTTGGTCACAGACATAAATTTATTGTTTATTTCCAAGAAAAAAACATTAATTGCTTATTTCCAAGAAAAAAAATATTAAAAGAGTTTCATAATAAATTCACCACATGATGCAATATTTTGGAAAGATATTCATTTGTATTTACTCAGTAGCATGAAATGCAAAGACTATTTTGCATGGAGATGATTTATTTTCTATATTCCAAAGTATGTTTAAAATTATATTTAATATACAAAATGTTGACAAAAGATTAAATAATATGCATTTCTTAAATAATGACAGTAAGATTATGCTTCATTCTGCAAAAGAGGAAAATCCCTATTTTGGTTTAACTAATTATTTATTGCTAAATTATTTGATAAAATTATGTTAAAAATCATGAATAAAATAAAAATTAATGAATTTTTTAATCTAAATAATGTGTACAATTCAATAAAATTACATACCTCATATATTTACCTTAATTACTTAAATTATGTTTAATTATATGCTTTATATATATATAAGCATATGTTTAAACATAATTTTAAGTAATTAAGGTATATATGAGGTATGTAATTTTATATATATATATATATACTATATGTAATTATAATTAAAGGGAAATACTGCTATTAAAATTCTATTATTTAGAATTAAGAGAATTACAATTTGAAGTTTATATTCCAATTTACAAATTCTAAATCACTGCACCCTCGGCGCAAGATTCTTAATAGTCTTTCCTTACATTTATTTATTTAATATATATACGTACACTGATGAGCCAAAAACATTATGACCAACCTCACATTTTTCAATTACCTCATCTGGATGGCATGGGGAGCATGATTCTTGCCCTTAATTTTGCGAGTGATGGGAAGGGCTGCTAATCTAAACAAATTTGATAATGGGCAGATCATTATAGCCTGAAGACACGGAACAAGTATCTTTGAAACTGCATAACTGATCACAATTTGCCGTTGTTAAGTATTTATGCAAAGTGGATAAATGATGGTGAAACCAGCAGCAGATGTTAAGGTGTTGGATGTTGATGCATTATCAAAGAAAGAAGGACCTCAGTCACTGTCCTGCTTGGTACAGCAAAATCAGCACCAGAGAGTGGCTCAGCTGACACCTCAATACTATGCATATCGAAGGTGCAAGTGTTTCAGAATACACAGTTCATCAGACGCTGTTGGATATGGGACTGCACAGCAGACCTCCCACTCATGTGCCTCTGCTGACCAAGCATCATTGTTAACTGTGCCTACAGTGGGTTCAGGAACATCAATGACTACAGTGGACTACAATAAGTGGAAGACCAGTCGCCCGGCTGGATGAATCAGGATTTTTCATTCATCACTTTGATGGTCATGTCACAGTATGCCATCTTATAGGCAAACAGTTGCTTCCCCTTGTACAGCAGGTCATACACAAGGTGGTGATGGTATTATGATTTGTTGAATAATCTTATGGGTGCCTCTGGGACCCTTAGTTGGGGTAGAACAGATCATGAAAGCTGTGCACTATCTGAACATTACTGTGGATCAGTTGCAGCCTTACATGGAACCTCTCTTCCAACTGGAAATGGAATCTTCCAGCAGGACAGTGTCCCATGTCACAAGACTCGAATTGTGTTAGAGTGGTTCAAGGAGCATAACGACTAATTCCAATTAATGTCCTGACCATAAAACTCCCCAGATCTTCATCCAACAGAGCACATTTGAGATGTCATCTTGGAGCTCAAACACAACCATTTCAGAATATCCTGACTTTGTATGACTACTGCTTAAACATTTGGTACAATCTGTCTCCAGTCACCTATGAAGAACTAGTAGCATGAATGCCAAGGTTAGTTGCAGCTGTTTAGCAGGCCAAATATCACACAGAGCATTATTGAGTAGGTGATCATAATGTTTTGGCTTTTCAGAGTATATATACGTGGGTGCCTGATAATATTTTTATTTAATAGTATATATAAAAGCTTGTCATATGCAATAAAGACTATTTACAAAATAAGATAAAAATTTAAATTTCAAGATTCATCTCTTAATTATTACAACAAACATTTAATAAACATTATATATTTAAAAATGTTACAACAAAAAGATTCAGAAGCAACTCACATTTAATTTCAACATTCTTAATTGGAAGACTATCATTTTGAACATCGGAAATATCTTTCACTTTAGGTTCTGGACCGATTTCAATCTTTGGTTCGGGGTCAGGTTCAGGCATAAGCTCAGAATCAGCTTGACTGACAACAGTCTCATAATTTTTTGGATGTTCATCAACTGACCTATTAAAGTCATGTAAATTTTGTTAAAGAAATTCAGGCAACCATTTTTTATTTAAATTTTAACTGCAAAATTAAAATCTTTATGTTAAAAACCGTACATAAAATATGTATCTCTCTATTTTTGGCACATTATACAATTAAATCAATTAATTTGAAGCTTAACAACTGTCAAAAAATTATGTTGGATAAACATATAATTCAGGTCACAGTTTTAAATAATATTTTTAAATTTTAACCTGGAACATGTATTTTCAATATTGTTTGGCTTTTCAGAATATATATACGTGGGTACCTGATAATAATTTTAACACTGACAACTTTTGATACAGCTACTTGCCATACATGAAACTAATGTGATTTACACTTTATTTGCAAATACTGGAAAAGGGGTGAACTACGTAAACTATGTTAAACACCCACAGTATAAAAGTTAAATTTAAAAAATAAATAAATAAATAAATAAAGCTAAGTATGGATGTTTTATTTTTATGAGAAATTAACAAATAGGAAATAAAAAAATTAAAATATCAATAAATATTTTTGAACCTATTATGCTAACTACCTCTAAAAGGAATCAGAATTTCTAATAACATAATTAAATAATGGAGTGGACATCAGTGATGTAGTTTGACCACCTCAGCTGCGAACATGAATGCAAACACACATGTGCCACTCAGACTGAACTATTCTCAAAATAGGATGGATGGACATGAATCATGTCATACGGATTTTTTCCCCTCTTTATTTTCCCCGTATTCAAAGTGCACAAACATGAGACAACAAAAAATTACTTTTAATTAATTTAAATCAATATGCTGCTCATCATTCATATAATTAACTGTTTTATTACATTGTTTTTATTTTTGTGCATTTATTTATTTATTTATAAATTTATAAAAATACAAGCACTTTCCAAATTAGTTTTTCCAAATTATTTTACAATAAAACTTAAGTAAATTTTTTATACTATAATTGCAATTATAATTATTCAATTATTATATTATCATTACAATGAATTCTAATAGTTTAATTATCATTATAATTAATTATAATACTTATATGTTAATAAATAATTATTATATAATTACATTATAATTGATAAGTTAGCTAAGTTTTCCATTCTCAGCTTCTGCTTCATAAGTGTAATCACATTATGCTGCAATTTCTTAGCACCACTATTAATGCCTTGTTTTTACCAAATTAATCTATTTTAACAATAAAAACAAGCTATCCTCAATACTTGCACAATAGCGGGAAATATCACGTTAAAATCAACTACGATCTAGGGAAATCCCACTCAAATGGGGTGGAAAACGTGATCGGGGCCCACCAGCAGCCGAGTGGTAAAATTGTTGAACACTGGTAGGGTTCGGTCCGAAGTTTGAATCCCACAAATGGGCTGATTGCATGGACATTTTCGTAGTTTTCCCATGTGTAAAGAGTATGCAAACCAGTTTCCCTTAGAAAGTCCCCCACGAAGGTATCCCTCCCCTTAGGCAGATAGACTACGAGTGCTTTGCCATAGTCAAATAAATAAAAACAAAACCTATTGACCAGCTAAAGAATATAGTTCCCCGATTTTTAGTGACCTTAAGTCATGAAATATGCATTGTTTATATAAAATTCATAAATTATAAAAAAAAGTTTCAACATTCTTTCTGGGGCTGCAAACTAATGTGAATCTTATCATTTAGCTGTGCAAATATAGTATATACATAGAATCCAAAGGCAAGGAATCATGGACCTTACAAGAAATAGACTACAAGAGCCTTATAAAAAATGTTCTCTCTTGTTTCACACATTACTGGCCATCCCACTGACCACATCCGGACGAGTAGGGAAGACTTTCAGAAACTTAACAATGGTTGGCTATTGCAGCATGTATAAATTGTCAAGAAAAAGCCGGTGGTATTCCCTCATTTTGCAAGTAAGAATTTTCAGATATTTTTATTTTAAAACTGAGATTGACTTTAAAAAACTTAATATGCTTATAAAGCATAATTAACATTCTAAATAATTATAAAGCTGTTGCATGCTTTCAGATCTGTATATTTTTAGCTTTTCCTATGCAAGGAAATTTGTAGCTACTTTTAGAAAATAACATTTAAAATCTGAATTAAAAAATTCAAACAAACAATTTTCTCTTACAATTTTTATGCTTTTTATTGGTGTAAATAATAAAAAAATATTAAAAAATGCCTAAAAATGAATTTTTGAAAGTTTTGATTAAAATTTTTAATTGCTTTGCCGCTTTTTTAAAATTATAGGTGAATATTATAGCATAATATTCTGCAAAGGAGTTTTATTTCAATTATATTTCATCATACATCACAGTGATAAACGTGTTTAACTCTTTAATAAATTATACATCTATTCTAATATTAAGAACTGTACTTAACTGTAATAATTAATTGTGCTAGTATTTTATAGTGATTATTTTTTTAAGTTTATTTCTAGTTCTGCATAAAGTTTTTAACATTCGGCAAAGATGTTTTTAAAAGGGAACCATAAGATTTGGATACTCTGGCATCATCTGATGAACACGTTTCACTTTGATATTTATTCAGGTTCCACTTTGATATTTATTCAACAGCTCCAAAATTATGAGAATGTGAAGGATTAGGTCTCGGTGGAAGAGTGGTGATAAATTTGCTCATGTTGTTGAAACTCCCACCAATCATGCTATTTACTTTGATAACTTTTTTACATCATTTAATCTTCTCTGTCATCTAAAAAATAAAGGTTTTAGTGTTACAGGAACAATTAGAAAAAAATGCATACAAATGTGCTCACTAGAAACAGTAAAATGTGCCTGTAAGAAAGACGGGTTATTACACACACTGACCAATGAATTAGAAACCCAACACCTATATTTTATTGGACCACCTTTTGCATGGATAACTACTCTGATTTGTTTGGGCATCGAGTCAACATGCTTCTGTAGTGCATTTACGTCCAGAGAATACCATGCATTGGTTATGCAGCTTTTTAGATCTCGTAAATTAGATGGAAGAAGAGAGTGCTGTCAGATGCGTCTTTCCACCATATCCCATACATTTTCTATGGGGTTAAGATCCAGGTTATGCGGTGGCCAAGTGTTGGAAGTCAGACTGATGTTCAGCGAACCATGGATGAAGTATCAGTCACCATCAGGGTAAAAATGCAACATTGCAGAGTGCACTTGATCTGCCAGTACATGTAGGTATATCGTGGCTGTTTATTTACCCTAGAGGAACACCAGGTCTTCACTTCCATGTTAAGAGAATATGCCCCATATCATGATACTCCCACCAGACCCTTCCACAGTGCAAGTAAGGCAAGATGGTTTCATGGCATTCTCGCCAAGTTCAGCGTGTTCCATCAGTGCAAAATAATGTGTAGCAAGATTCATTCGACTACATTACCTGTTTCCAATCCTCAGATGTCCAGTGTCTTCTTTTCCAACATCACTGTAAACAAATTCTTGCATATCGGTCAGAAATGAGTGGTTTTTCTCACAGGTGCCCTACTATGCATTCCTATTATCTGAGCATGGTTTGAGCTGAAATTTGTTGGGAAGAGCCTTCGTTAGTGATCTGCGCCAATTAAAGCACAGTAGAGTCCCTGTTCTGCCGTACAATTCATCAGAGACGCTGTCGATCCCTCTCTTGGAAAATTGTGCTCGAACACCGCAGTTACATCTTCTAGAGAAGGACAGTGGGTTTTGATTCCAACTTTTCAAAACCTTTGATATAGCTGCTTTTAAGAACCCAATAAGATTTGCTGTCTTCAAAATCGAGGCCCCCTGCTAAACCCTTTATCAAATGGCAAAAGATCTGTTGTTTTTCTCATTTTACTTCATTCATTGTGAAAAGCACTCTTACACCTTACTTACTTATAAAAGCGCTCTAACCATGTGTAACTCAAGTCACATAAAATTTGCATATTTCATCTCTAGCATGCATTCAAATGAAAATCTCAAAGGTTTCTAATTCATTGATCATTATGATATCCAGTATGAAGAGAAAAACAAAATCATTTTTATCCGATAATTCGGTTGTAAGTGTTGGTTCAAGATTTGGGAGAATCCAGTGCATAAAAAGTGTTTCTGTTATTCAAGAACACAAAGGAAAACAGTTTTTGTATCTCAGCCTCATCTTATTCAGCAATACAAAGCCAAAATAGAAGTCAATTTATGCAACAATTTAGTAGCTAATTACAGAATAAGAGTTCATGGCAAAAAATGGTGGTGGTCAATATTTACTAATTACATTGACATATCTCAGACAAATGCATAGAAAATGCTATCATGACTGGAAATAAAAAGTCTCTTTTAGATTTCAGATGCGAGATTGCACTATTCCTTTTACAAAATCCTATTGAGAGTACAGAATTAGCCAGAAATAGATCAGCAACAGGAAGACCTCATAAATTCAGCATTCAAAAGCTACTGCATGGAGATGGTAGATATTTTATCGTAAAGTCTAAGGATAATAGAAGATGTAAAGAATTGTTGTTCAATCGTTGTAAAGAATGCTATAGCCCTACTGTTTATAGATGTAAAGTACATAATGTAGCTTTACATCATGATTGTAATGAAGATTTTCATGCTTGAATCTTTCAACTGAAAATAATCTGTATTTGTAGAAGATATACAATGCAAATTTTAATATTAAATTAATTACAAGTAAAGTGATTTGTATATTTATAAAACGTTATACAGCTAAAAAATAATTCAGTGCTCAACTCGAAGAAAACTTCACACAAGTAAAATTATATTCACTAAATATCCATATTCTTATTCTGCTGACATTTCACGAGTGCAACACTTGATTTTCCCCCAGAATCATAAAAAGAGCTTTTTTTTCAAGTGTAAATTTATGTTATAAATACTTAATTTAACACTGACTATTATTTGTATAAGAAAAAAAAAATCATTCCTTGGAGTTATGGTTAACAGCTAGGTTTAGCTAGAGAACAAATACAGTTCATCCTATGTTCTATTGCCAGTGACTGAGCAGGCTTATTTCAAAGCACTTTCATTGTTTCTCTCCAAGTTTAACAAAAATATATGCCCTTAGAATGTTCTATGTAAATATATTATTTTTCTTATTCATATAGCTAGTTGCGTGTTTAGTCAAAATTAATTAGCCAATGAACATTTCAATAAGATTTCTTTATCAGTAACAGAAAGAAAAATTTAAAAAAAATATATTTCCAATTCTCAAACAAAAAAGGCATTTGATCTGGCTTGAAAATATTACAGCCTTTCATACTCAGTAATTTAAAATATTACTAAGTTTACCCTGTTATAATAATGAAGTTTTCTATAAGATAATGACACACAGTTTTATTTCTCAAAAATAATTCAATTTTTTCTTCAATACTAAATTTTGTTAGCATATACATTTCTTTGCACACATACATAAACAATTTCACAAAACATATCACAAACAAAAACTTTGCACACATATCAGAAACAATTTCAACAGCTTATTTTTTACACATTGTATAAAAAAAAAATGCTTACACTTTTTCAACTGAATGTGAACTACACGATCTATCATGGTTGAATCTCCTTTTAATTCTAACAATAGGTATCTGAGGATTAGCTTTTTCAGGAGGAATTACAGCCTCAATCATACTTTTTGTAGACTTTGATCTGCTCCTAGATATTAAATAAGCCAATTAGTACAAGGTAAAAAATTAATCAAGATAATTTAAAAGTAAACAGCAAAGGGATTTATTTAAAAATAGCTTTGCTACAAAAAGAAATTGAATTCAAAGAAATTTTTTGCTCTGCATATACTTATATTTAATTGAATATACATAATTATACTTAATATGAATCTGTATATACTTGTATTTAATTATATAAACAAAAAAATTATATATATATGTAATGGGATGGGGAAGAATAGGAAGAGTAATCTTCACCACCATGCTACTTAGGAAATAAAATAGGCAGTTATGCTAATAAAAGCCATAAAAAAAGCAAAAATCTCATCTCAGTCTCTAAAAGTCAGATTAAAAACAAAATTTAAAAATCAGATTAATTAAAATTATAAAACACCATGTTTACCATTCTGGCAGAGAAGAAAAATCTAAAGAATTAATTTTAAAGGAAAATGGCAAAATAATTTCAAATTTGAATAAATAATGCAGATGAAATTAATTGATAAATTATTGTAATTAACTGCAATACAACCAATTAACAATTGAAAAGAAGCTTAATTATTAATCTTAAATACTGAAAATTTTACTTTTGAATTCCAAATGCTCTTGGCAGAAGTTTATTCTTTCTACACTTTTTCCCTTTTTTAATTAGTTTTTTTATTAATATGCTTTCTAAACTAATTCTTTCATTACATATGGTGATTAATATGATCCTTACTTTAAATTTATTTTGTTACTTAATCCGTGTTAAACTAGTGTGTCATTCAGCGCTCTACTTAATGATTTAGTCTTGCTTTGTCACCTATTTCATGAATAGTAGTATTCATCTTTAGCTAAAGAGAGCTTATTCTTTTTGCTCTACTTCAGCTATTACCCATAAAAAATAGTATACATCTGAAACTGAAATAAAGTTTGAAGTTTCCTCTTCCATCTGGCCTGCTTATTAAAGATATTAAAAATCAAAGCTGGTAACAATACTATAGAATATCAGAAACATTTTATTTTATAACATTCATGATATGAAATAAGCTATTGGTGCAAAATGCAGTTAAGAAGTATGGATAAAATAATTCCCTCCCCCCCCACTGATAAGGAACAAACTTCTAGGATATCAATACTTAACTACAAGATTTTATGTATCATTAATTGACAATAACAACATACTCTTGTGTTTCCGAGCTTTATTTGTGGCAGAATTTTATAAGGGTAACAGTATGCCTCTAGTTTCTGATTTTTATCTGTAACAAACAGGATGTTATCGTGGGATGCTACAAATAGGATGCAAAATGAAAACGCATTATATATTTATGCTGATAAGCATTTCCATAATTTTGATAATAACTATTTTGATGTTTTTAATTCAGAATACAGGCATATATAATTTATTGAAACACTAAACCTGCAATAAATACAATTATTAATTTGCCGAGATAGGTCTATTAAAACATATTTGATCAAAATACCAATTTAGCTCTAATTATTTTTAATCTAAAATTAGACAAATATGAATGAGTTGCAATACAAATTTCTGATAGAAAAATAATGCTAAATTCAGACTTAACAAACAATAATTACTGCACATGAAACAAGGTTTCTAAATGAAACTTATGATCAGACTAGTAATATATTTTACTGAGAACACAAACTAATCATTAATACAAAATATTTTGACAAACACTTTTTTTTTTTTAAATTCAAATCTAAAGTACACTTTATTCAGTCATTGTATGTTTATATCACTACTTGCCATAAAGTTTTACAACCATTTCATCTAACTTTTAATAATTTGGAAAAGAGGGTGAAGCATATATTCAGGGGAGAAAAGGTACTAAATAACACCCTTCTGCTTTTAAAAGCTAATCTATGATCAAAGTGTCAAAAGCCACATAATATAAAGGCTTTCTTTAAAAAAATATTTCATGAATGGCTGATCAAACTTCACTTTGAGAAACTAGTAAAATAAGTTTCACAGCACCTATTTAGTCATTTATAAAAAACACAACACTTTTATTTATATGCAAGTTTATAAGGAAAAATTGTCAATGAGAGAAATGTATTTCACAGCTATAGAAGTGAAACGGAAAAAAAAAAAAACCTTCCATTCTTCAATGATTAAAGTAACCTAGGATATCCTTAATCCTTAATTTTGGTAATGTGGAAAGCTGAAAAACAATCTTTCAAGAGATATTTAGTAGTGTAATTTTTAATACACTGTACTGGATAAGGTGTTTTCAAATCTTTAAAGTATTCTGTGTTATATATTAAATCCTGCTTTACTGAAAATTAATAGTAATAAACTGAACATAAAGCAAGGCTAGCCTTTTGCTGACAGAGAATAGCTTTCGCCCTTCCAGTGGAAGAAATTGTCTATAACCATATAAAGTAGCAGAAAATGACAGGATTTGCCACAAACTAATAAACAAATTTAAAAATCTTTGTGTATTCACTGACAATAGTTAAATTAAAATTAGAGCAAATTCAAATACCATTTTCAATTTGGCAACGTAGATAAATTAATTGGTATATATAAAGAGAGAGGAAAAGAGATAAAAGTAAGAAAATTACAACCAATTTTACACAAAGACCTAAAAGAAGTAAAATTTAATACCAATAAGTTTCATAAAACCACATAAATATTCAAAATAAGAATTAAAGAAATGCAAAACTAAAAAATAAGAAATACAAAAACCAGAAAAATTGATATTTTTTCTTACACAGCAGCCACTTCAGCATCATAGTTGGTACAATTTGCACCAACAGCCCCACTAAAGCTGAAGTGCTGACAGTAAACCTCTACAAGAGCATTACTATTAGCACGCATAACAGAACTATCAGTGTAATCATGCAACCAGTGCATTGTTGGAAATTTTTCTCCAAGAGTGACCAAAGCAGCTATCCTCAATTCTGTCTCAGTGTAGGACTTTTTATTGTCTAAATCAGGGATGGGCAAACTTTTCCGGTCGCAGGGGGGGGGGGGGAAACCTTTGGTGGGACAAGAAAAATATTTCTAAAATTCTAAAAATAATTACAAGTATTGCAATTTAAATATGTTAATGAGATGAATGAAATTGTGATTTCATTTTTAAAAGTTCCTTACTGAGATTCAAGTTAAATGTACTTATTCTAAGGAACAGGGTTAAACGCTCATCTGTCAGTCTATTTCTGAAATAATTCTTTCCTGAAAGAATTATTTCAGAAGTAGACAAAGTTCAGAAGACAAAGTTTCAGAAGTAGTTCATAGTTGAAATACTTGTTCACATATATAATATGAAGCAAACATAGTACTGATTTTCTGGGCGTGATATATTAAATTTGGGAAACTTACTTTCAATAATGATTTATAAAACTCTAACTTTGGCATATTTAGAAATTATTGCTTGAGATGAACGTTAGATTGCAACTCAATTAATTCAAGATGCAAATCTGAACACACTGCTTCACAATTTACGTTAAAAGGCATGGTAAAATTATCCAATTCTGTTTGAATGGCACTGAAACCTTGAGATCTGGATACTGTTTATCTTCTTCAAAAAATTTTGTTGGCCTGATATTTTTTACAAAGACTTTCTGCATTTTGTTTCCTTTCAAATTCGGTCATTGCTTCGTAATTGGAATTCTTATGCTTAGATGTGAAATGACAGGAAATGTTATATTCTTTGAAGACTTCTACAGCTTCACTCACGCTGGTTTATCTTTTACAACTGTAAAAAAATATTTCCAGGTCCATTCATCATTAAAAGTACGGCACTCTGAATCAACTTTGCATTGAAATATTTTACGAATAACCCAAACAAGCACTAACTACGCTATACTTTTAATTAATTTCACCACTACTCACAATGATGCTAATGTCCGCAATCTTTCTATACACAATCAATAAAATCAGAACTCGCGCCAAAAGAAAAAGCCACTGGCTGGAGCTTAAAATGCGCAGTCTGCCACATGTGAGGTCTAATTCATCTACATTAGATTCCCATATGTCTGCTTCCGAGAAAGCGATAACGCTTTTTGGTGCCAATCTACAGCTATAACTAACAAAGAACTTCCCGCTTTTAACACTTTACCAAATGAAAGCTGTCTGTGCTTGCTATTTCGTTCAATTTATGTTTTGTAGAACAAAAATATAGAAAGTAAAAATATCATCAGTCCTTTGAAAAAAAGGAAGTAAAAAAATAATATTTAAACAAAGTAGAAAAGGAGATGGATATATAATATATAAATACATATTTTTGGACCGGCAAATTAAAATTCTATCCGCGGGCCGGATAGAACCTTATGGCGGGCGAGTTTGCCCATCTCTGGTCTAAATTATAATTTGCAGAGTTCAAATGTCTTAAATAAACACCTCTCAGAAACACTCAGAGGGGGGGGGGAGTTGCCTAATTGTGTTGTCCCGTCTCTGCAGCCTTCTACATTTTTTAGTGACAAACATATTTGGTGCTAGTAAACTAGAACAATGCAAATAAAATTTGATTAATTTTAAATAAATTTATTAATGTGTAATAAATTTTATATAAATAAATAAAAATGTTGGCTTACAAATTAAGGAGTATTTTAAAAAAGAAACAAATCTATAAAATAATCTAATACTAATATGTGTTAACAGTGAACAGAATTTAGTGGTTACTAATCAAGCAAATATTTAAAGCTGCCATTCAATGTAATATAATAAACTATTCAGTAAACATAAATAAAACTACTGCAGTAAAGGGGGGGAAGAGGCCTAATTTTTTTTTTTACATTAAAAGTGGCTTAATTCTCAACCTAATAATTCCTCTGTATACAATACCAATTCATTTTTCCACTTAGCTAAGTAATACGATATTTCAATTTACTCTGACTTCATACACACACAAACACACCTTAAACAAAATATTATTTCAATAAAAATAAACAAAACTTATAACTTGTATGTAACAAATCAATACATACTATAATAAACTTTGACTTTGGAAATCATTTATGAGCTCACTGGTGACTATTTATTCGCCAAACTAAGATATGAAAGTCATCAACCATTTTCAAAATGGCAGCACACTAAGAATTCCATGTAAGTGCAATCGATCAACAAAAGTGAAAAAGCAAGAAACATCAATAATAAAACACTTACATTTTTCAAGAAATCCATTTTGTGCTTTGTCCCCATGTGCATGGCGATCTGTTTTCGCTTTAAAAAAATCAGATAATTGTACAAACATACACTACGGAGTTCTATATCCGGTTCTACTGGGGCAACTGACAAAATTCAATTTGTGTTTTTCATGTTTCGAAACCACGACTCACGATATAAATTGGATTTTTATATAGCATTGCTCTTAATACAGTCAAAAACCTTCAATCCGGACTCGTCGGGACTTCTGCGATTCCGGATTATAGATCATCAGTTTAAATCTGGTAAAATGGCATGCAGAAATTATAAAATTAAAAATATGAAACCGTAATTAATGAAATAAAGAGCAGTTATGATCTAATAGGTATGCACATTTAACCCCCCCCCGGAATTTTTATGAAATGACATGCTATTTTTTCCCATATTTTGATTCTATGATTCAAATTATGCCAAACTGCCATGTTCTGTAAAAATCGCACGAGTAGTTTTTAAAAAATTATATCTCAAAATTTTAGCTCCTGAATGTTATCTGAATTTGATATACATTTATTAATCTCTTTTTTTTTTATTAAACTTGATTCCTTCTTTCAGAATTCAAAATGCAGTCTTAAATAAAATTTGCCCATTTTTTTTGTTATTTTTTTAAATTTTATTTTTTAAATAATATTTTATAAATTTTTTGTAAAAAAAATGTTTATAACCTATAAATTTTTTACCCTCATCTTAAAGTAGATGTATTTCTAAGCATATCTGCCAAAAATTATAGTTTTTATTCAAAATTTCCTAAGATATACATAAATTTACATTTTGGCGTGTTTTGAAGTCTGGCCTATTCGTATAACACCAAATGTGGTTTACATAGTGTGTTAAAACTTTAAAAACATGAACGATGACCATTTTTCCATTCGTATGCAATGAAAAAAGGGAAAGTATAATGGGTATTAACATGCTATAAATTAAGGAGTTCTCCAAGTGAAGTATTCTTGGCACAAACTGAAAAAAATGCGCTAAGATAAATTTTTTAATTTCTCTTTAAATTTCGCACCAAATTTTACAAAATTTAATAATTGGGCATAATTTGAGTCATAGAATCAAAATAAGGAAAAATTTGGCATATCATTTCAGAAAAAGTCCAATTTTGTGTCAAAACACCTATATAAGAACAATGCTATATATAAGTCAAACATATATCCTAAGTCGCGCTTTCGAGACATGAAAAACGAAATTTGAATTTCGGCAATCAACTGCATTTCATTGTTAGAAGCCTTTTCAATACAAAGATCATACAATTCATCCAATTAGCAATGTCCCATGTTAATACCCATATGACCCAGGTAACTGACAGTTACTTGAGAAGGCCATTTCTGTCTCATGCATCCCGAAGATGTGGCCTTTCTCAAATGCACTAATTACAGGTTCAACCCCCACATAAATTGTAAAAGCGTTTCAGGCCTTAAAATGCAGTTTGATTTAATACGAGATGTCATCCCAAATACAGGATGTGAATATTTCAGTAATAACAAAATGCTCCTCTACTCTGTCATCAGTTTTAACATTGCAAACATTTACTCAGAATGCATATAATTAACACTTTAATAATCTGCATTCTGAGTAACGCAAACACTGAACAGTAAATTTTCTTCTTAATGAACTACATTTTTAAGATGACTCAACCTCCCTCCTGAAAAAGTGTAATTTCTTTCCTATTAATAAAATCAATGTATCCTCTTGCCTAAATATATATGTAGCTTAAATTCCCTCCTTTTCTGTAAAGCAGAGAGTTCCAAATGGTAGTTACAAATAAATGAATATAGAGTATAATGAGAAAACTGAAAGATGGTATCCCTGAGTTTGCAAAAGCTTTTATCTTTGCAAATTGCAAAAGAGTTCATCTTCTGCAATTTATTTTAAAAGCAAACATAATTAATTCATAATCTGAAATTTTTTTGTCTAATATTCGATTATCTTTCTCTACTCCAATTTACTATGCAGCATTTAGGTTATGTACAAAGATTAAATAACCCTCAAAGACAACTCAAAAATGGCTGCAAGAAAACAGAAAAATGTATGGACACAGATGGTACTTTGCTATTAAATAACCAACAATAATAAATAAAAACAGCAAACTGAAATTAATTTTCATTATTTACCAAAGGAAATGAGCATATAAAATAAAAGAGCTAATACTACATAATTACCTGGAATGTTTTGATTTTTTCTTCTCTGGTTCTTCTGTACATTCAGAAGGTCTTTTTTTATCAGTATTCTGCTTACTGTCCATACTGCTGCAGCTGTTGTTCAGATCATTGTTAATAAAACTTTCATACATGCTACTGAAGGTGGGAGCAGAACTTGATGCTGTAACATCTTGTAAGTCTTTAGAATCTGACAGATTCTTTTTTTCCTGATCTACAGGAGGGCTGTCTTTTAACTTTTTTTTGTATTTATCACCACCAAAAACAGGACTTCCAGATGTTGTGACAGTTGCTTCTTTAAAATTTGCAGTAGTAAATTTACTACCCAAACTGCTATTACTATTATTATGATTAGAATCACTTTTCTTATTTTTCACTTCGGAAGTCTTGTTTTCAGTACTGTTTACATGATTACCATTACTTAAACTACAGTTACTAATTGTACTTGCACTGCTATCACTGTTAAATCCTTGCTCAGAATTATTACACTGCAAGTTCGGAGTCACACTTTCACTACTGTTTACCACAGAATTGCTGTTATTATAAGCTACTTGCTTTACTTTTTTATCATTTCTACCACGAGTCTTTTCTTTAAGATGAACTGCAGATGGCTTCTCTGGACTAGGTTCTGGTGTTGCATTGTCTGCTGGGATTGGTTTAAATGCAGGTATAGTTTTAATATGACTATCTTTTTTCTGCAATGAAAAAAAAAAAAAAAAAAAAAAAAAAAAAAAAAAAAAAAAACAATATATGCATTTTGAGTTTTTTTTTTAACTCAAAATTTTTTTAAACTCAAAACTATAGTTGGTTTCATAAAATTTCTGTAAACAAATCTCAGACTGCAATGCTTAAGAAGACTTTCACACAACACTAGTACACATTTTGCCTCTCTGGAAAGAACTGAACAACAATCAAAAAGTAAAATCTGTATACTCAATATTTTGATAAAAAGTATAAATTTCAATAATAATAGTCTATTAAGCCAGTAACAAATAAAAAATGGACACTTAACTATATATATATATTTTTTGCATTTATGGAATATTTTATGATGAACAACAATATCCAAATAACCTGTATATCAAAATATTACTTTGGTTTAAAAACAACACCCATATTTGCTTTCCAATCATATCTTATCATAACTACACAGTTAGTAGTTTCTTCCTGTCATATGTGTAATATAAATGAACTATAAAAATAATAACACATTTCTCTATAATAATTCAAACTAACAAAAAAAAAAAAAAATTCTGCCTTATGATAATATATATAAACAAGGAAAAATAATTAAATGAAAATAAAGTAACTGATACTTTTGCTTCCTTCATTATTTAAAACTCACGTTTTTCAGAAAAGTAACTGATACTTTTGTTTCCTTCACATTATTCACATAACAGACTTCAGTCATTTATCATCACTGCACATGTCTAACACAGACATTTATATGATAATGTGATAAATTACTTGAATTACGTATTTAACAATTAGCCGCATACCAGATTTTTAAACTATTTTTCTCTTATACAGAAATAAGTAAGAATATATTGCATATATTTAAAAGTATTTATTACTATACACTATTTGTACAGTTACAAAAAGAGTGCTACATATTTTGATGCAGCTTTTTCCCAGCAGAATTTGTCTATGGAATTAAAAGGTAGCATAAAGATAATTTTAAACTGGGGGAAATGTCTACATATAATAAAACAAAGAGTCTGTGTGTGTGTGTCTTTCGTTCACGCTGCGCGTAAGCTAATAGACCCACGGCTACGAAATTTGGTACATAGGTGCATCTAGACAAGAGCCAGTGCACATCGAAGCGAATTTTTTGAAACTCGAAATAATTTTTTTTTTTTTTTTTTTAAATTTTGTTTCGTGACAAAATTGCATCATTTTGAGACAATATAAATAAGAAATAGGCTATAGGAAAGCGAGATTTTACTCTACACACTCCATTTTCACATCATCATGAAACGTAGGCACTTAGCTATTTTACGAACTTAAAATAAATTTCGTGTTTAAATAAATCGATTAAATACGAATTTATTTAACAAAGGGAGCTTAACACCTTTTCAATGGGATTTTTTCTAAAAAAGTTTATTTTTAAAAATGTAGTTTATTTTTCTTTGATTTTTGGACACGTTAAACTTTCCTCCTTGCGACTGCTTTTACAAAAAGAATTTTGGAAAAATGATAATATTTTGTATTTTTAAAGAATTTTTAAATGAAGCTTCTGAGTATACTTCTCACATCTTTAAAAATGTGATTTTGGCAACAATTTTCCTGTCTTGTTGCTGATAGATTTTTGATGAAATCGCATCATTTTGAATAGTTTCATTCTTTTAGAAATATGGGTTTGGTAACAATTTTTCATCGTATTTCTTATGTCACTGTTTTTAAGAGATTGGCATATTTCATTGCCATTTTTTTCTATATATAATACATTTTTATTGATGTTTTTTATAAAGTTGTTCTGCAGAGTAAAATTCTGCGCGGAATTTTTTGTTTTTTCAGTTTCTTTCATGCTATTTTTTTGCTTATTTCACTGTTTGTAAGATATTAAAAAGTTTTGCATGATTTTTTTTCTTCAACAGAAAGTTGGTTAATTTTTTTTATTAGGATAATTAATATTTGTATTAAGTGATATAGCTTATTTCACTGTAATTTTTGGTGCTACTTTGGTAGACGGTTGCACGGATTTTGGCAATTTTCTTTTGGCGAGTAATACGACTTATGGTAAACCCATTGCTGGATAAGATTTTTATGGTAACCGATACTTTGTTGTCATTTTATTTAAAAAATAATGCGTTTTATTATTCATAAATTCCATGTTTTCAATATTATTTATCGCTTCTAAATATTAAAAATCAACTTAATTTTGCATTTTTATTTGAAATAAAAATTTTGTTGTTTATAATATTTTATATAATTTTATGTTGTGGATGATGCAATCAATGACGTCACCTTACTTAAAACGTAATTGGTTTTATTAATATCTATAAATTTAATATTTTAAACATTATTTATGGCTGTTAAATATTAAAATACAATTTAATTTTACATTTGTTTTAAAATGATTTTATTATGAACTATTTATTATGGTTAATTTATTTATTAGGATAATTAATATTTGTATTAAGGGATATTGCTTATTTCATTGTAATTTTGTTATACGTAACAACTTTTTTTTATGAAGTTGTTCTGCAGAGTAAAATTCTATGCAGTTTTTAAACGTTGGTGTTAACGTTTGGTGTTCCCTTCAGCAATTTTTCCGGTACATTTAAAAGCCAGACAAGGGCTGGCAGCGAAGCTGCTAGTATATATATATATATATCCTTAAAAGAGCATAAATGACAAAATATTTTTGAAAGTATTAAAAGTTTTAGGCAAAAAATGGAAAAAAATGCATTTATATAAACTTAATTTTTCTTGACCATTAATAAGTAACAACATTAAGTGGGCTTTACAGAATTGCATTTTGGTAACTTATCATATTTCAAAAATTTAAAGAAGTCTTTAAAAAAAAAGATGGGGAATGAAAGGGGAGGAAAAGAACAGCATGTTTGATATGGAATCTAATCTATTTGTGCTTTTCTATTTCATTTAAGATAATTTTTCCTAAAATCTGAAATTAAAAAGGGGTGAATATGAAAGCAGAGAAGAAAAATGGGCTTTAACTGATGATATGCAAAAGACCAAGAAAGAGACAATATTCAAGATGTCTGCACAAAAATAATGCAAAAAGACTAAAAATCAAATAACTTCTAGAAAGTAGTTGCCAAGAACTTCATATTTAAAGTTACCCAAATAATGGGCAAAGTTGATGTCAGTGATACTAGCCAAGAATTTGTTTAGCTTGTGGATATAATCTTTCATACTACCAATTTTTAAGGACAAACAAATAGATGTACACACAGAACTTATTTCTTTCAAATTTCCTTTCGAAATCTAGCAGACTAGAGAATCTCCATAAATTACTTTCTAAACTAAACAGAAATCCTCAATATATATTCTCTTTATGATGAAAGTTAAAATGAAATACAGTCAAAAGTCGTTAATTCGGACACCCATAATCCAGAATGATCTATAATCCGGACCTCAAAGCTACAAACTGCGTCGCGTTCACGCATGCGCACAGGCGTTTACGAGAGCGCATAAGACCCTTACAGCTGCAAATATGTTTGTGCGCATGCGCGTTTAATGTGTAACGGAGTTATACGCTAAGCTAAAGTTATCTAATTCAGTTAATGTTGCAGATTGTGTTGTTCCTTAATCTTCGAATTGGATCCGGCTTATTATTTTTTGCAGACTGTTAGAGCAATTTTATAAAAGTAAGCTCGAACTTTCGATTATGTCAAATAGAATTTCCGATATATATTTACTACAAAGCGAAAGTATGTTTTAAAATCCGAAATCTGTTTATCAATTTCACGCTGCGGATTGGAAGTTGATCTGTCAGCACTATCCTTATCTTCAGAGCAGATGTTTTTATTTTATTGATTTATAATTCCGTACTAAGTGTAGTATTTCATCTTGATATACTCCGTCTTTGATATGATTTAAATCAAGTTCCTCGTCATTATAATTCGCTTCCGATAGTGAAGAAAGTGACCCAGAGGTTATTGAAAACGAAAACATTTCGATTGACAAATTAGTCGGTATTCTCAACACAGCAATTATAGGACTTGAACAGCGGAACTTTGTAACTAAACAAGAAATTATGTCTGTTTAATAGAATTAAAGAGAAAGCATTATCACATGAAAGGAAGCAACTTACATTGAAGGAAATGTTTAATAAAGTAAACAAATAAATATTAAGCTTTTTCTTTTTGTAAATTTTGATACCCTTTAGATCATAATTGTTCTTTATTTCATAAATTATGGTTTCATATTTTTAATTTTGTAATTTCTGCATGCCATCTTACCAGATTTAAATTGATGATCTATAATCCGGAAAAATCGATAATCCGGAATTGGCGAAGTCCCGACGAGTCCGGATTAACGACTTTTGACTGTATACTGTAGCTTAAATTGCTACTTATATGGAATTTGTCAGAAAAATGTATACAAACTTCTTTGAACGAAAGAATTTTCTTTATTGTGTGTTAATACCAGACTTAATTATAGGTAAATAAATACCACAGGTTAAGTTAAGTTAAATACAATCTTCTTGCATCTGCACCTGTAAGTGCTGATTATTAGCAGCCAGATATATCGCACAATGGCAAGCTATTCCTTGAACAACACTGATTAATGTGTCTGTAAGGTTTGCTGCACATGTCGTAATTATTTCTTTATGAAGGATTTCCAACATAAACTGTTTTCTGTGCCACAAGACATCTTTCAAGGTCCCGCAAGGCTATTTTAATTCACTATCATACATCACATGCTGCAGTCATGAGAATAATGACAGGTGTTGAGCAAACATCATGGAGTAAAGATAATTCAGAAACTATCATGCAGATAAATAATAAATGGTTTTTGCATGATGATTTTGAAAAGTGCATAAACATTTTTCTGACAGATCCTGTATATTAAGAGGTACTTTAGCCAAATTTAACGAATCTCACCAGAGTTGATCTTCTTTCACTAAATAACTTGCTAATGTTTATATTCACATTGTTACAGCCCTACATAGATTAACAATGTTCAGACTTACCACTAATATTTGCTCATGTTTTTAAACTATGTA